CCCATATTTTTACAGACCATCGGCCCTAGGTGGGTAATGTGGTCAGCATTACACCGGCCGTCTTTGCCTCCCCAGGACAGCCATCCCAGTACCCATTTTAGGCTAGGTCAACCTGCAACACTCCAGACCATATAGCGGTATGTTGGAATTACAACTCTGACTAGCAACGCCTAAGCCAAGGACGCCATATATATATATATATATATATATATATATATATATATAGATATATATATATATATATATATATATATATATATATATATATTAATTAAAGAATAAATGCATGAGGGAAAATGTGTATACAAATTATGAGGTAATAAAAATAAAAAATTAAAATTAAAAAAAACATAAATTTGTAAAGTTAAAAAAATTTTATCAACAAAAATGCCAATGTCATAAACAATGCCTTCTCTAATAATGCATAACAACTGAATCACGACACATTTTGTCTGAGTCCCCTCGAAAATAGGTTACTTGAAGCGTTTCCATGTTGCATTGTGTGACAATATAATATGCTTACAAACTTCTGTTTTCTGATTGTATTCGTATTACAAATCGACAAGTGGCTATTGTAAAGTGGAGATACGAGATTTTCATTCTTTGTTGTTAGATTACAGCAATTTTAATTTTAATTTACGGGAGACAGTCGTGTTGTGATGCGTGTATCACTGTTTTAGTCAGTAGTTCGGATTTTGGGGAACTGAAACTGGCTGTTTATTACTTTTCTACTTTAAACGTAGAAATGTTACTTTTAGGGAAAATACAAACAGGTAATTTAGAAGCCATATCTGGAGAATATTGACAGTTGTCAGGTGCAAACTATCTGGTGTTGGAAGAAAACTATTGTTTTCATATTGACTGTGCATAAATGGTGCAACCACACTGTGGATAAATGGTGTCAAGATATTTCGGAGCTCTAGGTAAGTGGACGAAAATAATATTTAATTTACTAACCTCTCACAGCAAGTCCCTCTTTGCCTCTTTACTAATTGTTGACTAACAGTATAACTTTATGTTGTAGCAGTACACTAATAATATTAATCCTTAACCATTTGACTTATGCTTCCCGAACACTGGCTGTAAACTCTTGCGGAAACTTTTGGTTGTTAATCCACTTCTTATGCATATTTGCAGTTGTACGGTCTGTGTTAATTTTTGTAAAAAAAATATGGCTTTTACTTTGCTTCGCGAATACTGGCTGTAAACTCTTGCGGAAATATCTGGTTGTTCACCCACTTCTTATGCATATTTGCAGTTGTACGGTTTGTCTGTGTGTTAATTTTTTCTTTTTCGCAAACAAAAAAACTCTGGAAAATTTGGTTGTTCATCCACTTCTTATGCATATTTGCAGTTGTACAGTCTGTGTTAATTTTTGAAAACTGGCTTTTGCTTTGCTTCGCGATCACTGGCTTTAAAGTCTTGCGGAAACTTCTGGTTGTTCATCCACTTCTTATGCATTTTTGCAGTTGTACAGTCTGTGTTAATTTGTGTAAACTGGCTTTTGCTTTGCTTCGCGAACACTGGCTGTAAACTCTTGTGGAAACTTCTGGCTGTTCATCCACTTCTTATGCATACTTGCAGTTGTACGGTCTGTGTTAATTTGTGTAAACTGGTTTTTGCTTTGCTTCGCGAACACTGGCTGTAAACTCTTGAGGAAACTTCTGGTTGTTCATCAACTTCTTATGCATATTTGCAGTTGTACGGTCTGATGTTAATTTTTGTAAATTGGCTTTTGCTTGGCAAACACTGGCTGTAAACTCTGGCAGAAACTTCTGGCTGTTCATCTTATTCTGGGCTTTAGTCTTGTTTTAGACAGTTTTGAACAACGAGATCCGGTATCTATATGGGGATTTTTGTGTTTGTTATGTGTATGTTGCTCATAAATTTGCAGTTATATGGTCTTTTTCAATTTGCTTTAATTAACTTTAAAATAATATACCATTCATCATACTTATACGCGTTGTTGCATGCAGTAATAAGAAATATGTGTGATGTACTTTTAAACAGTTACAAAAAATTTGCAATGATGAGAAATTGATTTCATCCAACAAGATGAAACTGGACAAATTTGTTTGTGCTGTTTGTACCTTGAGGATACATATTTAGTAGTGCTATAAGTACTGTTAAGAAAACTACTCTGGGTGAAACAAGTATTGCACATATCAATTTCATACTGATTCTGCTCGTTTACTAATTATTAAATAACAGTATAATTATATGTTGTAGTAGTCTACTAAAAATAATAATAACCATCAATTCATTTATATTTATGTTATGTGTGACATGTGTATGTTTCATAGCAGTATTTTTATGCGGTAAATTTGATAAAGTACAAATGTCACCCCTCCCCCTCCCGCTCTTCTCATGCAACAATACCCTCTCAGAATCAAAGAGTTAGCACTGATATTTCTTTACTTTTGCTGGAACAACTTTTAGTTTATATCGAAACGGTATTGATGTTTATGTTTATGTTGACTGTAGCAAAAGCATTTTTGTTTGTCTGTAAGAGCCTTTATTGTTATATTTAATTGGCACACTTATTTACCTTAAAAATGACATATAGTTCTATAAAATATGTCGAAAATTAACGAAACTGTAGTTTAATTTGTGTATACATCTCCTCGATAAAAACTGTGGATCCAGAGGGACTCAATTCTTGCACAAGAACGGGAATCCCCGTTGACCTGTTATGCCTATAAATAGAGAAGGCCGTGGTCATAAACAATCACCATTTAATCTCCGATGCTGACCTAGTTCATGTGGGGATGCCTTTTGTTCCAGACATTGATACGATTATCTGTTTGTGTGACATCTTTAACTTGTTTTGTGATGACTAATCCAGCCTGGTCATGCTGACATTCAGATAACAACAGCTCCGGCTAGTGCTTTTGATAAAATAGTTCACGTCTATAAACATGTAAAGAGTATTCTCTTTACTATTTCTGTATCTTCTTATTTTAACGCCATACTATTACTATGTTTTATCCTAGTTTCGGGATTTTTGACATTTGCCTTTGCGGTTTGCCTGAGTATGCAAAAATCGAAGGAAACTGTTATGGGTTTGATCATCAGAACAGGATTTTATAGCAGTAAATGAAATACAGCTTTCATTTTGATAGACATAGTTATTGAAAGGGAGGTGTATATAACTAATAAAAGGACCTTAATGTGAATATCAATACAATGATAATAGAAGGGCGTGTATCAGTTTCCCTATTATATGCCCGTGTGTACTGGTAAGATGTAAGCATATCTCATGGATATTCACAGTGAGGCTCCTAAAACTGTCGCCCTCGATTTTGATAGTTTTTTCAACCAAGGCGAAAGCGATATCTCTTATTTACTGCTATAGAACCTTTCCGTTCTTGAGTTTGTCTGTCCTAGTTTGTGTTCTATTAAATACTTCATGATTTCATCTTGACTGCAATCACCCACTTTTGTGTGCCCCTCAGTTTTAGTAATCTTGTAAAGGGAAGGAACAATAATTCCAAAGAAAATGGAATATATAAATAAATAGTGACGATGAACAAAAAAAAAACAAAAAAAAAAAAAAATGAGTAACTTAAAACAAAATGCATGAATTTAACAAATAAAAACACAAATGAATGAATTAAAAAATAGTTCAAACAAATAAGTAACTCAAAAAGTAAATAAAATACAATAAAACCAGTGATTGCATACAAATGAAGAGTGTAAATTATTAAATAATTAAACACAACATGGACAAAAAACATTAACCTATAAAACAAACACAGTATCAATTCGAGAATTGTTATAAGTCAAGGTTAATTCACTTCAGTTGTAACCCACCCAAGACACAGGCTCACCTGTCAAGGACGTTTGGCACCTCCTCCTCGCTGGTGGAGATAGCAGCTCTCCTAGAGCCCTGCCGATTAGACATGGGTGACTGGGCTTGGGATCCGATCCCGTCTCTGCTGGTGAGACTGCCTGCCATACTGCTGCGGTCACGTCGTCTCGTGGAAAAACGGCTCACAAAGGAAGTGTTGTTCTTGAATGTTCGTTCTCTGCAAGAAAAGTGGCAAAGGTAAATATCAAGGGGATGATTTCCTTGCACCAGCATTTATGCCATAGGGATTCATTTTGCTCGGCAACCGTCTACTGGGGAGGTTGCACAAAGTGCGGTTTCAGTAGTTCCATGGACCATCTCCAGAGATCTCAGTAATAATGGCACTACGAATCCCATCCCGTGCAAACAAACCACGATAAACAGAGGATGATTTAATGGACGACCGTTTAGCCACAAAGCATCGCCACATCCCCTCTGTGATAAAAATTGCACCAGATCAGCAAGCTTTCATAATAATAACACAAATGTTTTAATTAATGTCGGTACATTGAAAGCCGTTACTATCAAAGACATATGTAGCCACTATTTGTGTTTCGTAGCTTTAATAATGTTATACCTTAATGTTTTCACAGTGTTTATCTCAGTGGTCCAAAACTGGACAAGACTGCCAGACTCTTTTTCTCCCCTAAAGGTCTGCCATGGAACCATACATTTTGGTAGTCATACTCAAGTTTCTTCGTATTTGGTTTGCAAACAATAGACTACTTGTTATCTTATCTTAAATAGACTTCCTTTCTGCAAAATTACAGTTGCTAGTTAACAAAACCATGGCTTCTGCATTTAGACCATGTATGATAGTCCAATGCCCTCTAACTCATTATGTGGCCATAGCGAGAAAGGCATGTACTCACTTTCAGCAGCCATCAACATGTCTTTATATAGTTATGAGATTCTATGTCAGCAGCAATCACAGTCTTCCTTTGGAGCTATAAGTAATTGCCCGAAGATACTGACCTCTCTCTGCATTTATCAATCTTATCTCTATTGTAGAAATCTGTTCATGTTTTGCAGTTCCTTTCAGTATCTACAAATAGCTTTTTCTTTGTTTTTAACTACAACAATCTGTTTTTTGCAATTGTGAATCTGTCTCCGGTGATGGGAGTGCACCTGTGTACTCACGAGGTAGGACTTGGGCAGGGAATGAGGTGACGCTTCCATGTGGCAGTTGACATGGAGTGCTCGTCTGCAGCATAGCATCTCCACAAGCTCTGGATCAGGTTGGCTGCAGGAACACGTCGACGATTGAGATGCTTCTGTCGCTGCTGCTGCTGGACTTTCAGTGCAAAACCTGAGCCAAGGATGCCCTGCAAACACATTATATCGTATTACTGTTCTGTGACATAAACACCTTGAACATTACCGGTAAGATAGATGGAGAAAGCAACAGGAGAACAAATACCTCCATGAATAGGCTATACGGTTAAGGCGAGACAACAGCAAGGACCAGATATGTGGTTCCTTTTATCGTGTAAGATGGCGAACCATAATTAGGATTAGGAGCAGGTCACTTGATGACAATAATCATTTATAAAAAGTTAAAAAAAAAAAAATGTCGGCGTCTCTGGCTCAACTGTTGCGAAGGCGCTCTGTAATTCTTGAGTGATGGATTTTATCCCAGCTATGGGCGATTAGAGGGCGATAACTATTTATAAATAGTACCTCCAAATAAAATATCTCCAGGGCTGTTGTATTATATGTCTAGGGCTGACACGACGACTGTGCTTAAAGAGATACTAGGAAATATCCTAGGGAGTAAAGGCGACCGATGTGATGTTGGCCCCGTCGAGTGCATTTTCGACTATAAAATATGTCTAGCACCGTATGTTTGATTAACTAGTGCGGTAAAGTAAATGAACATATTACAACACAGTATCAGACATAGCTAAGTCAGACTATATAACTAATCAATAAGCAGACTGCCTCAGAATCTATTATGTATTGTGATTTTCAAGGGCGAAAAGTGTATTTATGATCTCTTTTTGTTCGTCTAGCATCCGAAATGTGACTCAAGTCCACACTTATTTCGTAAGTAAGTAAGTTGTACCCCACCAGGACATCACACTAAGCGATAAACACATTGTGACTCCAAGTGCCACTTGTGGAAAGGTCCCAGAAACCGCATTCATCGTCAGGCTCAAAATAACGAAAATGTGCTCCCACATGGGGACAACATTGGTTATGAAAACAAGGAATAATTATAGGTAGGTAATTTGTACCCCACCACCACATCACACAAGCGATAAACACCCGTTGACACAAAGTGCTACCATAAGGGTGAGGATCACCCGTGAAGAGGTCCCAGAAACCCAGTTCAGCCGTTAGTCTACATTTAAAGCTCGACTATATTTAGGGCCCCCGGCACAAGCCGAAGTGGGGCTTCAAAATAATAAAATATTGCATCCCACAAGCGGACGAATAGTACAAACGAATAAGTATGTTGTGGTTGGTTGGTTGGTTGGTTGGTAGTTGTATCCCACCAGGATATCATACAAGCGATAAACACTTAATGATACAAAGTGCCACCATGCAGATGAGGATCACCCATTGAAAGGTCCCAGAACCCCTTTCAGCCGTTAGGCCATTTCTATGGCTAGGCCATATTTAGGGCCCGGCTAAATTCAAGGCCTCCGGCAGAAGACAGGGAGGGGTTTCAAATAACAAAATCATAGGATCCCACGAGGAGACGACTTGGTTGATGTATACCATTGAGAGGTCCTAGAAACCGCGTTCAGAGATTTTTATTGGCTATTCTGCCTACCCCACTAGGACATCACACCTGAGTGAGAGATAGTGACTTTCTACCCGACCAGACACAATAACACACCGATGACACAATGTGCCACCATGTGGATGAGGATCACCATTGAGAGGTCCCAGAAACCGCGTTCAGAGGATTAGCCATATTTATGGCCTGCCTATATTGCGGCCCCTGGAAAAAGCCAGGGTGGGGCTTCAAATAACAAAAAATTTCATCCTGAAAAGGAAGTAAGAATGAATAGGTGATGTATAATGAGAAATGTTGGCGGAGCATTTGTGAAAAACGGGAAACAGTTTGACGAAACATCCCTAGCTATTGAAACTTTACTGAAACATGCAGGAATAGCAGAAGCCTATGCTAATGGTTCTGTAAATAAAGTGAACGAAATGAGAAAGAATACACATTAAGGGTGGTAATTTCTGTATATTCTTGATGAAGCATGTTACTGACACAGTTACTGCCCTTGTACTACTAAGAACAAAAAAGTTTTCTCCATGCAGGTTTCAGAGTCCTAATTTTGGTAGCAAATGGAATAGACCCACTGCTCCTTAACAAACATGTCTTCAAAGGTGACTCATTAGGAATTCGGGAAAACTGGATGTGTTGAGCTGAATGTGTTGAACAGAATGACAAAGCTATCACAACATGGCTGCAAACACAACACAAAAACGCCAATCGCTGTTTCCGTTTCTCTGCCTATGTCACCCCTTTTCTCAGGTACACTTTCATTTCCTATTCTCTCTCTCTCTCTCTCTCTCTCTCTCTCTCTCTCTCTCTCTCTCTCTCTCTCTCTCTCCCCTCTCTTTCTCTCCCTCCCTCTCTCTTTCTCTTAAAAGTTGCCGTCCTTAAGTAAAGGAACATTATTTCATAATCATTTTTTTATCTCTGTGAAAATCTATCCGAAAGAAACTTTTACCGTAAACCAGTCCACGAATGCTCTATGGAGACTGGTCTGTACCAGGTTGAAACTTGCAACTGAAGCCTTCCATTGGAGGAGACGTCCAGATTACAACCAAACCTTCTTCAATCGCCATAACAACATGCATCTACACACTGGTACATTTTACGCTTTTCTTACTCCATTCCGTGGTTGTGACTTACTCATCACTAACATCCATTTTTTTCCATCGAGTTTCGAATGTCAGGTCAAGAATGTTTCCTGTCTGTTACAATCCAAAGCGTTGTCTTTGATCTTTTCATAGGCTAACAAGTGTTACAAGCGATTTATTGTCGACTAGAATATGGTTGTCCTAATGAACCAGTTTTTACTTACCGCTGGTAAAGCAAAGAATGAGATTCCCAGAATAGCCGAGAAAGAGGCTATGACCTTGCCACCCCAAGTGGCCGGAACAACGTCACCATATCCTACAGTGCAAAGAGTGACCTGTCAACACATGTATAACAAAAATGTGATACATCTAACACAGTATATTGTGTTAGTCATACAATTATGTCCGGAAAATAAAATGTCAGACACTTCTATTTATTTCCAGAACACCCATTTTAATCATGGTCACTAGTTTGTAATTGTTTGTTAGGAAGTATCTATAGAATATTCAAGAGCGGCACTATGGCTTGTGGCTTAGGGCATGAGCATTTACAGCTCACTCTTCAGGCAGAACAGTTTCAGAAAGCAGCGCTGCCTTCACCGTGACCACCAGCAGCATAACCATGTGGGTGATGACGGTGACACGAGCTTTCATGTGGCTTAAATCACGTGACTATTCCCGCGTTTGTTTGCTGAGTGACTGTTTGAGCATGATCCGGTGGGTCAATGAAGGCTGGTTATGCAGACAGTGGTTTGAGTCATTGCAAAACTCTCTTCTGTGTGCAGTTACCTTCACATTCGCCCCAGAGAATACAAGCTAGCTATCTATCTAGCTAGCTAGCTAGCCAGACAGACAGACAGACAGACAGACAGACAGACAGACAGACAGACAGACAGACAGACAGACAGACAGACAGACAGACAGACAGACAGACAGACAGATAGATAGACAGATAGACAGACAGATAGATAGATAGACAGATAGACAGATAGGACGGACGGACGGACGGACGGATAGACGGACGGATAGATAGATAGACGGACGGACAGATAGATAGATAGATAGATAGATAGATAGATAGATAGATAGATAGATAGATAGATAGATAGATAGATAGACAGATAGATAGATAGATAGATAGATAGATAGATAGATAGACAGATAGACAGATAGATAGATAGATAGATAGATAGATAGATAGATAGATAGATAGATAGATAGATAGATAGATAGATAGATAGATAGATAGATAGATAGATAGATAGATAGATAGATAGATAGATAGATAGATAGATAGATAGATAGATAGATAGATAGATAGATAGATAGATAGATAGATAGATAGATAGATAGATAGATAGATAGATAGATAGATAGATAGATAGATAGATAGATAGATAGATAGATAGATAGATAGATAGATAGATAGATAGATAGATAGATAGATAGATAGATAGATAGATAGATAGATAGATAGATAGATAGATAGATAGATAGATAGATAGATAGATAGATAGATAGATAGATAGATAGATAGATAGATAGATAGATAGATAATGTGTGTATATGTTATAAGAGGTGTGATTTGTTAATCTTCACTGTCAGGAATGATTGGTTACACTGTGGACTAGTTTTTGTGAAACATACTTGTTTAAGTGCTTCTTCTTCTTCATTGTGTGTGTGTGTGTGTGTGTGTGGGGGGGGGGGGGGGGGGGGTGTGTCTCCTTTTTTAAAAATTGATTCCTTTTTCTTCTTCTGTAATTTTATTGTCATTAGACATCGATTTAAAAAAAAAAAAATGTCAGATCTTCATTTGAATTTCGAACAATTGAAAAAAAAAAAAAAAAAAACCTGTGTTCTTTATGATTGGAAATGCATTTACAAAGATGACACTCTAATCCAGTATAGTTACAGTTGCGTGACGCCAAATAAGAGTAACTATGGAACACAAGCAACAAGTTGTAACAACAACACATGGCCCACTCACCACTCCCCACCAGATGGCGTCAGCAAAGTTGCTAAATTTAGGTTTGAGGCTGGAGTTGTTGAGCTGTGGCAAAGGCCCGTTGTCGTGTCGCGGCTCATCCTTCTCGGCCAGGTAGACAAAGTAGGAGGAGAACACAAGACCCAGCAGGCCGATGTACAGCGTGGTCACTAGTTCCTGAACATTGGGCAGACAGTCGGGAAGTTAATGATGTTGAAACAATACACATTCGCATACAGGCAAACTGATATTAATCTACTTAACCACATTCCTGAGAGCCTGACTACCTTGTTTGTCTATCTATCCGTTCGTGAGTTCCATCCTTCCATTCACCAATCCACGAATTTATATGTGTATCGCGGTCCTTGATTCGCATTCCTGTATTAAGCATACAATAACACAAATATCCGAAAACACGGACAGGTGAAAAAGGTATCTATATTGAATACTAACCTGTCTGTGGGCCCAAACAACGGAGCCCAGCAGTTTCCAGGTGCCCCCCTTTCTGTCCAGACGAACGACCCGGAGGATCTGAAAGAAGCGCAACCCGCTGAGAACCGTTTGTGGGAACTGGTCTTGTGTGGATCCCGCAGCCAAAGTGCATATACTAGCCAACGACAAGATGATGTCTGTAAACGTAAATACAGACGACACGAATTACGGAACAAACTCAAGAGCTAACAAATACATTGTAAATAACAGTAATGTCTGATTTTTATGAAAGGCAAAACTTAAAAGTTTTTAGATTGCATATATGTTATGGTGACTCATGTAGCTACCAGTAACAAAGTAACCTACTGTGCATGTCGTAAGAGGTAACAAATGATGGTTGCCGTGGGGCTAGTTAAATCACCCTGTACAATACTATGCGCACAGACCAAATCACAATAATCTCAACACAGTTTTTGTGAATGTGTGCTTCGTTTAAAGTGGAAAGACAGATACAAAGGCCCAGACAAAGGCCACAGAAAACAAACAATTAAATTAGTTAATCGGAGGTTCAGACACCAAGAAAACACCGAGAGAGGTAGCTCAGCCCTCCCCCCCCCCCCCCCCCCGACATGTTGTCTGTTGTTGAATGTTGAATTAAGAATCGACAAAACAGCACTCGGGACACCCCACAAGCGTTCTGTCCATATCTTCAGCAGCAAACGAAGAGTTAAAATTCAGATGGTACCAGTAATTGTCTGATTGTATATCCGTCTCGCCTTTCTCCTGAGTGTGGAGCTTCGCCAGATCCCATTGTAACTCTCCCTGTGTCATTCTCCTCAGACCGTAATGATCTTTCTGTTCCTCAGCACTGTTCACTCGCTCTCAAAGGGCCCTCACAACATCCAGCTTGTCATGCATCAGTTTACCGCCAAGTGGTGCAGAACCTGCCAGTCTTCTGCCTGTTAGTTTCCCAACACACTGGTATATCCTGAAGCAAATATCTAAAGAAGCTAAATATCCGGGACCTCTGAAGTCATGCTTTCCATTCTGCACGGAGCAAGCCTGTGTCCACCTTTCTCAACATGCACTGCGAGTCAGTTACAATGAGGGCATGTGTGTACAGCTGATTCTCAAGCAAGCGGAAGGCGGCAACGACTGCCTCCACCTCCATTCTCAATTTAGACTTTGTGATTTCATATGCCAGGCGTTGTTGCACCAAGCGACGTCCATTCTCTTTCGCTATGAACCTTCATGCACTTCGTCTGACCCTCAACACAAGAGACAAATGTATTTACAATCACATCACTTGGCAGGAATTGTCGTGAATCATTTGTTGAACTTCTGATTCTGCAGCACTAGCTGGCCAGTCCCTGCACTCACGTCCCATGGTGATTAGAACCCTTCACAAGTCTGAAACCTGATCGGACACTTTTTCCCACCCCTCACCTCGCATAAATTTATTAAGTCTACACACATGTCCAATTGTGTCTTCAGCTTGCGCCATCGATGACTTTTCTTTTTTCAGTCTGTGACCCTTAGCTTGTTGTCCGCAGCTACTCTAAGATATGACGTTGCTTGCAGATCTTTGAGTCTGTCTTCTGTAGTAGGGAGTCAATGTATGTATCGAATACATACTACCGGGGTATCTCTTGCGCATCCCAGAATTACCCGCATTGTTCCATTCTGTATTCTTTCAAGTTTAATCAGCTGACTCTTTGATATGGTAATTAATCAAGTAACAGAAAGTATTGTGAACGGCACTCATAGAAAGAAGTAGAAAGCTAGAAGAACACACTAGACAACATAAAAATCGAAAGCTATAGTTACCGTGCCGGGAATTGAACCTGTCACCTCCAGACGGCGTCTGCGCCTCGCCATGAATACAAGTGCACTAAGATTAATCAGCTGACTCTTTTATATGGTAAGCATGCAACGCTCATAACCTATTACCGACAAAATCACATGCTGAAACATTGGACACGTTGTGTTAGGGGACATAGGCCTTCCATAAGCCGAAGTTTTCGGTACCCACGTGAGCTGTTTTGCTGGACACTATACAGACGCTTCAGGCCCTGATGAAGCCTGACATTTTTCCACAATTGCTTTGTCTCCCAGATGGATCTAACCTTAAATGGGTACCAGGTGAAATCCTTGGAAGTAAAGACGGCCGGCGTGATGTTGACCACAAAATCCATCTAGTGCCGATCGGTCTATAAAATATAGATCAAGCCCTATGTGCTTTGAAGATGTGGAAAAAGGTCGTTTACTTTTTACTTATTTTTATGTATAAACAGTAATTACCGTGACCACTGTAACAACCAGCTTCAGTGCTTTGCGATATTTGCTATCCATAGCCTACTGAAGCGGGTCATGAATATGCTGCTCAGAGCCCACTAACAACATTCTGACACAAAGACCAGACAGGTTTGAATGATTGTCTCACACTGTCTGCTTAGAATTAAATATTTAAACACTTATGTAACACAACTGTAAACCCAGGGGGAATTCCCCGTCAGCACCGACCTATAATGCAGAGAGGTCGTCTGAGAAATCTCATTCTGCCGGTTTTTCCCTGATAGCGAGACCGACACCCGGCAGACCACACTCGGAGTCCCAGCTCCACCATTATCCACACCAGCATGATTATTTCCTGTGAAAGGAGAGATAAAACATTGACGGGCAATTTTGTATAGGGATGACGTCTAAGACATAATGAAACATTTATTGCAACGTTCTATGCTTCAAGATTAGATACAAATACCATCTAGTCTTTATTAAAACATTTAAAATGGATTTTTTAAAGATTGTATACGGACGACGCCTAATGTTTAAGCAGACATTTATTTCCAGCCAGTATTTGTGAAGGTTTTTATTGCTGTGACGTCTAATATTGAAACTTGTATATTTTGATGGTGTATCTTCAAAGATTATATAGAAACGTGAGATATTTAAATTACACATGTATTTCGGTATGGTATTTTTAAGACTGTTTGGGAATAATATATACCGTTTTATTTATATTAATAAAAATGTTAATTTTCCGTGATTGTTAACTAAAAACTCGGAAACTACTGAATCGATTGCTTTCAAATTTTCACACAACGTTGCCTTTGACTCACAGCGTGACTTTTTGTCAGACAATTGCACAAACCACGAAGGGCGTAGCTCCAGCAACGGTCAATTCATTATTTGTTTCGTTGCCTGCCCGGATTTATTTTTAGTTGATTGGCTATTTTTTGACTGCTGAGCTCTTATTGAACTTTGCATTACTATATACTTTCATTTCCTCTTTCTGCTTGAGTGTTTGGTAGCGTAGTTATAACTATTCCGCCTATCATGCGAGTGACCGGCGATCGATTCCCGGATAGGTGATATAACATTGTTTAGCCCTTAACTGGGCGGCTGGCACGTTGTGTTGTGGTTTATGGCTAGGCTGCGATATCTACGCCTTTTTCAGTTTTAGGTTTTAAAGCTAGTCTGCGACAGCGGCGACGTGATGCTTAATGGTCATGTCACGGGTAATCTTTGTTCACCCTCGAGATGGCGATTGGCACGTTGTGTTGTCGTTTTACAGCTAGGCTGCGATATCTGACCTAAACTCTTCAGTCTTCGGTAGTATAGTTGTAAGTATTCCATCCTTCACGCGGGTGACCGGTGTTCGATTCCCTGCTGTGTAATAATTGTTCTTCCTCTTGCCTTAAAAGGGTGGTTGACACGTTGTGTTGTGGGTTACAGCTAGACTGCGATAAATGCGCCTTTCGCCCAAAGACATCCTATTTCAGTTAAGTCCCAGTTAGCCTCCCCGCGACGCTTTTCGATCAAAAACTATTCGGCGGTGACGAAACTGTTAACTAAGACGGCTTACAGTCGAGTTTAGTTTGGGTGAACACGGATGCCACGGTCAGTTAAAAATCGTTCCTTCGGAGAGGGAGAGATGACGGGTGTAGGTATTTTTCTCCGCTATTCGTGAGTATTGTGTACTTTTTACTGTGGGTTCCATCACTGGTTTCGTGATGAAGTTTTTTTTTTCTATGTCGGGGGCAACATTAAACTAAATAGTCCGTGGCGACAGTATGGGGCGCTAACTCCTCTTTTCTACACCGACCTACACAGACTGTAGTGACAATTTTTGTTGTTGTTTTGATGTTGGTGGTGGTAGTGGTTGCAGCAGTACTAGTAATGGATGGGTGACGTGGTAGTTGTTACACTGGCCATATTTACTTCTCAGTACAAGTTAATGCTACCTATTTAAGTCTGGGTGGACACGGATGCCAAGCTCAATTTAGTTATAATATTTCATTACATGGTGACTTTCCCATCCTTCGGAGAGGATGACATGATTGGGGAAGCAGGGAAGGGGAGGGGTGGGGTTATGCCAGACACAGTTAGCTGAGAGAGCTTAAAATATTATTTTAATGTTCTCATTCTTAACTATTTCTATTTTACTAATTTCGCCAGGTGATTTTTTTTTCAATCCTTGGGAGAGTGCGAGATATGATTTTTGGAGGGGTGGGGGTGGGGGGGGGGGGGGCTATGCCAGACAAGTTGGCTGAAAGAGCTTAAAATATTTGTTTAAAGTTCTCATTTCTTAACTATTTCAATTTTAATAATTTCGCCATGGATAATTGTTCTGTCCTTCGTAGAGGGAGATATGACTTCGTCAGATGATTTTTAAATCCTTTGGAGAGGGAGATATGATTGTTGGAGGAAGGGGTGGAAGGGGGGGGGGTGGTTATGCCAGACACAGTTAGCTGAGAGAGCTTAAAATATTATTTTAATGTTCTCATTCTTAATTATTTCTATTTTACTAATTTCGCCAGGTGATGTTTTTTCAATCCTTGGGAGAGTGCGAGATATGATTTTTGGAAGAAAAGGGGGGGGGGGGGGGAGCTATGCCAGACAAGTTAGCTGAGAGAGCTTAAAATATTTTTTTAAAGTTCTCATTTCTTAACTTTTCAATTTTAATAATTTCGCCATGGATAATTGTTCTGTCCTTCGTAGAGGGAGATATGACTTCGTCACGTGATGATTTTTAAATCCTTTGGAAAGGGAGATATGACTCGATCGAGGGAAGAGGGGGGGGGGGTATGACAGACACTGTTAGCTGAGAGCTATTTTCTTTCCTCTCCATTTCACCATTCTGGGCCACAGCAACGCGTGGCCGGGTGCAGCTAGTTAAACATATATATTTAAAGTTTTATATTGAAGAATATTTTGAAATGATGCAAACAATTTTAATTAACAATAATGTTTTTTACCCCTTTTGAAAACTGTTTTGCAATGAAATCTGATGTTTTGATGCCTGAAGACTGGAATTTCCGTGAGTGTCAACCAGATTCTTGAGCCACCTACACCAACACCATTTCCCCAGGAGCATGGTGATTTACTTACACTTATGCATTAAATATGACAGCACGTTACACAGCATATGGTTACAGCCAGAGCAAAAGAACGGCGTTCACACGTTTATATTCTACCACAGATGCAGAAAGACACGTTGGCCTGTTAACCCGAATTTTTTTTAAATCGAGTCGAGGCCGGTTTTTTTTTTTTTTAAATCCGGAATTAGCCCTAAGTCGACCCAGCCCAAATGTGTACCAGATACATTTCTGGGAAGTACAGGTGGAAGGCGGATCTTGACCACGTCACTTACTGTGTGCTGATATTTGTATTGGAGAAAGGACAAATATGATTCTAGCGTCACATTCACGATCCGGCATTGGAGTAAAATGGTTTATTTACTGGTCTTCTGGGTAAGTCTTGAATTAAAAGGTCTGGGAAATAGGGATATTCATAATAACAGAGCAAGTGTTTACGAACATATGTATGTTTTAAGTATGTACTGTATTCATAGTGATGGGAGATGAGTATTCATGCTTTAGAAGATAGGACATGCCTTTCCAAGGATAATATTTCACAAGCAGCCGCATTCAGGACGCATGCGTGACGTGACTGCTCTAAGGCAGTGGTGGGCAAACTATGGCCAACTGGCAAAAACTGGGGCACCGAGGAAATTTACTAAATAATATGGCAACTGACAACACAAAAACAGCAATTAAAAAAGCGATAACCTAATCAGCAATAACCAGAATTTGATATTTATATAACTCAGATAGAAGCAGACCGAGTAATTCTGACATTGGCACCCGGACTAAAAATTTTGCCCACTCTTGCTCCAAGGCATTCTCAGCCAAATAACATCCTGTTTTGAAAGCTCATTTCACCTGCTACTGAGATGTTAAATGCTAACTGGATCCCGCTGAACTATCACACATTCTAGACTATGACTTCGGAGGGCGGTCCAGAAAAAACAAAATACAGTTAATATGAAAGAGAACGGTTTGCACGATACCGACCTACTTCTCATAACGTATACATAAACAACGACTGCGTTTAGAATGTGAATACATTAAAGAATATATGAACGTACTCACCAAACATTCTCAACGGCTGTACAAATAGAGTAAAACATGTACATCAAACTTTGCATTACTCTTCAACATTTTTTAGCGGAAACTAATTAGATTTTTTAAAAAGCAATTTTTGTTTCCATGATGCAACGAGTGCTTCACAAAGAAATGCGTGGTACAAACGCTTCAAAGATATTGAGAATCTGTTGATTGCTGTTCCATTTCTGAAAGACTAAAACAAATAGAACACCGAATAGTGTTTCATCTTTAGTAATTGCTTTCAAAAAGGATGGTACTGCAAGAACTAGAAAATGATCTGCGTATTCACACACACAAATTGTGTCCCAGGAATTCTTTATGCTGTAACAATATTCTTCCTTAGATTATGCAGCCAACACAGGGGGAACGTCGTGCTACAACTGCTAATGATTTGCTGGAAACCGCTGCCAAGGAAGCAGATTTCTGGAGATGAAAAGTTTTCTTACGGCTATGATCTAGAAACGATCCAGCTATGATCCACTGGAAGTCGTGGGATTTTCCATGCCTGAAGAAGGCGAGGTATGTCTGCTGCAAATTCAAGACCCTATCAACTGTGTTATGGGAAAGATGTCAATCGCGTATACCCATCTCCGGGCCAAACAATTATTTAAGTGTGCACTACATGAATTTTCTGAGTCGGTCAGGAAATAATAAAAAAAAAAAAAAATGCCCACCACCTCTTCACGTCCAGATTTAGCACGCTACAAATTTTTTGGGTTGGTTTTTAATATCCTACCCCCAGATAACGTCACAGTACAGTCCAACATATTAGATGGTGGTAAGACTGGATTTCCCGGCTTTCTGATGTTTTCGACCCCAAAATATCTAGAACTAGCCATAACCCTAACCCACCTATGTCTCACGAGAGAGTGCAGCCTAGGTCTCACGACCGCGTGCAGCCTATTTACCACCCACTGAAATATTAGACTGTCCCACGACCTGTAGATTTTCTATGATTGGGGTAGGATTATTAAAAAAGCACCCTTTTTTTACAGGCTTCAAAAGAAAGAAAATTCAGATCATCGATGAGGACAAAGAAACGACGACGACACAATTTATGGCGTGATAGCTTTTCCAAAAAAGATCTCACATTTTGTTTTAAGCAGTAGAAGATACGCCGAGGGCATTGTTGAATTCCAATAAACTTACTTTCAAGGTTACTGTATTACTATGGTGTTATGTTAAATGTTTATTGTTTGTA